TATAGGATACTTATTATGGGTCTTAGGTTGTAAATTTATTGGTGATTTATTTATCAAAGCATTAGTTAAAATAAGAATAGCAGGAGAAAGTCCAAATGCCTAACAATCTTAATTACTCAAAATATGACTTTGGGTAAATCCCTACCTGAATTTTGAGACCATCTCAAGAGCAGATTTGATGCACTGAGCGCTAAGGACAGAAAACCTGACGAGCTGTGGGAGGACATCAAGAACATCAGACCTGAGGAACTCAAAGGTCTTTGGAAAGCCAGGCAGGAAAGAAAGAAGAGATAAAGTGGAAGTCAGGAGAAACTCTGAAACGTTGTCTTAGCCATAGAGCAATTGAGGCAAATGGAAGAAGTGATGAAGTCAGAGAGTTGAACAGAACATTTCAAAGGGCAATTTGAGAAGACAAAGTGTTATAATGAAATGTGCAAAGGCCTAGAGTTGTCAGGACTGGAGAAAGGCTTATTAACAACTGGCAGAGTCGCAATATGCCTGGGACACAACCTTGCTTGCTGAAACTGAGGAGGACTAGAAACACTTACTGATGAAATTCAAGTATTTTAGCCTTTAGTATGGATTAAATAAAAGTCAACATAAAGAAAACCAAATACTCACAACTGGACCAAGGGGTCACATCATGGTCAATGAAGAGAAGATTGAAGTTGTCAAGGATTTCATTTTGCTTGGCTCCACAAGCACATGCTCATGGAAGGGATCAAATGACTGATTGCACTGGATAGATCTGCTGAACAAGACCTCTTTAAAGTGTTGAAAAGCACGGATATTACTTTGAGGACAAAGAGGCTCCTGATGCAAGCCAAAGTATTCTATTGCACTTTTAATGAACCATATTGTTAGGGCATAATCCAGACAATTCAATAGCTCAGTCAAATCAGCAAGTGTACAATCGCTACTACCATCAGTTTCAAAACATTTTCTTCCTTCTTGTGCTCCTTGTTACCAGCTCCCCATTATACCCTCAGCTTCAAAAACAAACCTTGTGCAGCGGAACCAACACCTGGCTCCGAGCAGCAGCCGCCGCCGGCTGCCGAGAGGTGTCTCTGGCCAGTGTTGATTTTACCAGCCTGCCTGCAAGCACGGAGAATATTTTTGCTAACCCCTTCAAGGGCCTTTTGGCAAAAAAGAAATGTGCATTCTCATGGTTGGCCAGGAAAGACTACTATTCTATATAAACTGAAGCTTGGTGAAATAGTAACCACTATTCCTACTATAGGTTTCAACGTGGAAACTGTTGAGCACAAAAACATCAGCTTCACCTGTGGGACATGGGCAGCCAGGATAAGATCAGGCCCCTGTGGCACCACAACTTCCAGATTATACGCAAGGTCTGATCTTTGTGGTTGACAGCAATGACCGGGAGGGGGAGCGGGGGAATGAGGCCCGTGAAGAGCTTATGTGGATGTTGGCAGAAGACGAGCTTAGGGACGCTGTCTCACTAGTGTTTCCTAACAAGCAGGACCTTCCCAATGCCATGAACGCCACTGAGATCACAGATACACTGGGACTACACTCCCTGCGCCACAGGAACTGGTACAGTCAGGCCACCTGTGCCACCTGTGGAGACGGGCTTTATGAAGGACTGGACAGCCAGTCCTTCATAAGCTCCAAAACCAGAAATGAGCCAAAACCAGTCCTCCTCCCTTTCTGCCTCCGCTCCCTCCTCCTCCTCCTCTCCGCCCTCTGCTTTACTCTCATGTGGCAAACTGCGGCTCTGTGGTGTCCAGTGCCAGGAGCTGTCTCCACGGGTTGGGTCACAGTGTGCAAGCACCATGCTGTAAATGTGGCAGCCGCAGCCTGCAAACAGGTCTTTTATTTAATGTAAATCGTTTTTGTTTCCCATGAGGCAGTTTCTGGTACTCCCAGGCAATATTACTCAGCTTTTCTTACTGTGAAAAAAGAAAAATCAACTCACTGTTGTACTGAGAAGGGATTTCCACACACTGGCCCCGGGCTCCTCCCAAGAGTTACTGTGCTAGAAGAGCCAAGTGTGCTCCCTCTTGGCCTGAGACCTGTGTTGAGACCCATTGTGGTAGTTGGTTTGTAACCTGAGCTCAGTGCATTTTTAAAAAGTAGCTAAAAATAAAAGGAGAACACTTGAACCTACTGAAGGGAGAAATATGCCTAGTGTAGGTTTTACAGTAACAACCTGAGTACTAGTCCATCCGATCGTCTGTGTTTCCCTTTGGGAATGGGAGAGAAGGTGACAAAAACAAACCCGCTATCAATTTTGCATGGTCACACTAGAGATCCCTGTAATTCCGTTTTGTCGTTGAATCATCCCGTATTTCCTAGTTTGTGCTTGTATTAGTGCTCACACGGTTACCAAGGAAACAGGCTTTGAGGCTGTGCGTGGCCCCAGCTACCATCTGAGCACAGCAGGCCCTCGGTTGAACCGCTGGGCCCTAGACCCCTTCATCAGGCTGGGCCACTCACGCTGGCCACTCAAAGGACCCATAGCGGGAACCTCTGCAGCTGGCCATGGCATGGGTAGCAGCCTTTTGGCTCTTGATTTAGAAGCAAAGAGCCACCAACTTTTTATTTTGGTCAGGTGTGTGGTGCTTTTGTGTGACCACTTACCAGAGCAGAGAGCCCCAGTACTCCCCGTGCTTACTCAGACACCTTGGCCAGCACAGCAGGCTCCCAGGGCGCACGCATGGCCTCCTCCCTCCCACAGAAGTGCATGCAAGCTGGCAGCCTTCCACCAAGTGCGCACAGCCTGTTGGAACACGCCGGTCTGTACATGTGTGAAGCAGCTTCCCCTCCCTCATCCTGCAAGGGTCAGATTTGCCAGCAAGAAAAGACGACCTCTACACATTTTTCTTTTGTATTTTGATAACACTGAAGAAGCTGGAGCTGTTAAATTTGATCTTCAGGGGAAAATCGCTCGGCACTGGTTTATTTGGTGTCGTGGAACCTCTTATTGCTTTCAATACACAATTAGTAATCAAATGTTTTGTATACTCGTTTTCAGTTTTCATTTTGACAAACAAGTGCTGTAATTATAGGTATTAGAATGAAATCTCTTAACTATTAAAAAAAACTTAATCTAGCTATTTTCTCTATAGATTCATCTGTGCTGAGTTTCCTATTCCAAAAAAGATAGCAAAATATATAACAGAGTCAAGGAGGATAACCAAGGTATTTTTAATTACTGCATATGCCTATGGAGGTTGGCTATTGAATAAGCAAGAGTAAGAAGACTCGATGCATTTGAATTATGGTACCAGTGAAGAGTGTTGGAAATTCCCTACATTGTCAAAAGAACAAATGCTCCTTAGAAGCAGGGATGGAGAGACTTGTCTCGCGTACTTTGGCCGTGTCATCAGGAGGGAGCAGGCCCTGGGAAAGGACATCATGCTTGGTCAAGTAGAAGGGCAGCACAAAAGTCAAAGACCTAGGACAAGATGATTGCTATTATAGCGGCTTCAACAATGGGCTCAAACCTAACAACCATTGTGACAATGGCCCAGGACCTGGCAGCATTCGTTCTGTTGAACAAAGTGTCGCTCTGAGTCACTTAACCAACAACAGAAATGACCACAAAAAACAATTATAGCTAGAAATTTAGTTAAATAGATCACAGAAAATCCATATCGACATTACCCAGGGAAACATGTAAAATGGTATGACAGAATAATGCACAAGGACATTGAAAATTGTTTCATGATACATTAAGTTCAAAACAGTTATGTATAAAATACTGTGTAGTGAGTGATCCCAGTTTACTTTTTAAGAATGAATTATATGTATGAGCACCTTTGAGGTTCCTGGGAAAATTGAAAAAAGATATTAGGGGGCTTCTAGTTATACCAGCAATCTGTCAGCTCTGTAAGGTGGTTCTTTATAATTGTAGGAAGGTCACCTATTTGTCTTTCAATTTAAAGGATTTTGTAACTTTTTTAACTATGAAATTATTCTTGATCCATTAAATGTTAGTTTTAGTAAAGATTATGTATAAAGCAAATAAGGTGCGTAACAGCTGAAAAGCAAGAGCATTTCTAGCACGCCGTCACCTGTGGCGCTTACCTGAGCATTTCTCCCAGTCATAGCAGGTGTCGTAGCCACAGGGTTCTTTCTTGGTGCTGTTTGATGAAAGGCTTACCCTTTCAAGACCCCATTCTAACTGTTGGCCTTCTTGGCAGGAACCAATGTGTAAAAAGTGCAGTTGTCGATTATTCAAACATTTCTCGGCTGAAAACTCACACACAGATGAAGTAAAATGATTGTTGGAAGTTTTATCATATACACAGAGTTCTTCTGAATAAGAGCTGTGGAAGAGA